AAAAGATAATTGGCGGCGACAAAAGTCGCCGCTAAAAGGTCAAGTTGTCGCCGGTAATAATAATAGCGGCGACGCGTAGCCGATAAAAGGTCGCCGCTACTGCTTCGTTGCTATTAATTAACTTGTCGCCGCTAATGAGAATTGTTGCCGCTAATGAGTTTGTCGCCGCTAAAGAGTGACGCCGCCGCTAATGATGATGTCGCCGGTACTGATGATGTCGTCGGTAATGGTGTCTCTAGTAATAACAATTTTCATTTTTTAATTTTTTTTAATCAACGATTTTGGTTGCGGTAATAATGTCGTCGGTAATTACATAACAACATTCGATTAAATATCAAAACAAACATCCGATTAAATATCAAAAGTCATAACATCCGATTAAATATCAAAAGTAATAATGTCGCCGGTAATAGTGTCGCCCGATAATTACATAACATCCGATTAAATATAAAAAGTAATGTCACCGGTAATAGTGTCACCGGTAATTATAGAAAAAACAACCAAAAATTTTACAATCTACCAAGTAGCAAAGCGTGATAACAAGTGTAATATGCAAATAAAACTCATCCCTACATACCATCATCTTCGTTCCCATCGTTTCCTCGATTATTTTGGGATTGAAAAAACGAATAAAGCTCATCTATACATGCCGGGTCGTTGAGCATTGCACGAAGATTTTCCAACTACATAATTAATAACAACATATATAAACTTATAAGTTAAATTATCAAACATAAACAAAAACTATCAAAGTACATTGCTATTTTTAAATTAAGACAAAAGGCCAAAGTACATTGCTATTTTCTTGCACGTGGGACAAAAACCCAATTACCAATGCTTTTAGCAAATAATCACCACAAAACCAAAATTACCAAATCAACATGCATTTTATGATGCTAAAGTAGATTGTTATTTTTAAACTAAGACAAAAAACCAAAGTACGTTGTTATTTTTTACACTTGGAACAAAAACCTAATTACCAAAGTTGCCTTTGGGAAATGCTAATTGCAACAACACAAAGGAGTTGATCAAATGAACTATCAGTCCATTTGTTATTCACCTTGATATGCATTAACTTTGCTAGAAACTCAAGGGAAGAAAAGATGCAACCAGGATACAATTTAGTTTCCACTTCTTCCAACAACTGTGCAAAATCATTATCCACACCGCTACCCCTTGTATTCGAGGTTCCTTCATCAGGGTTGGTATCATTTTCTCTCGACTCCCACATCACATCGTCGATTAAATCGGCCATTTCGTTACTTGGCAAGACGACCGGAGGAATAAAAGATTCACCATGATAGATCCAAATTTTGTACGACTTACTGAAACCATTTATAAATATATGACGTTCCACTGCAGTCGGGTACTTGAAGTAACGGTTATCACATTTTCACACGCAGTGGCGGAGGTTATATAGGGCCAGGGGGGCTGTGGCCCCCCCTATTTTTTTTTTTATAATTAGTCCTTATACATTAAAAAAAGTTACATATTATGTCTAAAACTATAAAATTTGACTTTGCCCCCCCCCCCCCTGTTCTTCAATTTTTATACATATTCTATTTTCGGCCCCCCCAAATAAAAAGTTCAAGCTCCGCCACTGTTCACACGCACATCTGGTTTTACCATTACTATCAATGTGTGATTTGGACTTCTCGATAAAAGCTTTGAGTCCTACTTGGAACTCAGGATGGTTTCGATATGGATTAGTAGTCCAACTTTTATCAATAGAAATGATGTTGTTGAAACATAATTTTGGGTTTAGAGTTTAGTATACAAAATTAGCATTGTTTTTTTTACAATCCACATTTTTTTTACAATTAAAAAAATAAAAAAGATTAAAAATTAAAAAATTAAAATTAAAATTTTTTTATTTATGCATTTTTTTAATTAATTTTAATTACAATTACTTGTAATTTATATAGGCAAAATTTGTAAGTATTAAATAAAATGGTCAGAGATCCAACGAATCAATTTTTTCCACACGTTTGTTTTATTTATAGTAGATGTACAAATATATCCATGATTATTGAAAAAAAAATTGTTTGTTTCTTTTAATATGTTTAGCAATTAGTTTTTAATGAATAAAATATTAAATAAAGAAAAATTAATAATTTGGTATATCCATAAAAAACATTTCTTACTATTGTACATTTTTATATTTTTTTTATTTATAACATTTTTTATTTTTTTTTCAATTATAGCATTGTACTTTAAACAATTATATTATGTTGTTGTATTGTTCTTTTTTACCGTCAAGATTAAAAAATATATATATATTTTTTATTTATAACATTGTATAAATATGTTGCAAATAAAAAATTTAAAAACTAAAAAAGACATGAAAATATAAATATGAAACTATAGAAATATAAAATTATAAGTTAATTTGAAGATTATAAGTTAACTATAGAACTTATTGGTTAATTTGGGGTTAGCTTGGGAACAAACTAGAAATTTTCTACTATGCGTATATAAGTTTTTAAACAATTTTATAACATTTTTTTGTGTTTTTTTTTTCCAATTATAACAATAATTTATTTTTAATTTTTTTCAATTATAGCATCCTACTTATACCAAAATCACATACTTTCACATAATACATAAGAGCATGAAATTCACATATTTTCACATACATATACCACATATACACCAAATACAAATACATTCACATACACACATAATAACATCCTACTTAAACCAAATACACATACTTTCACATATATAGATAATAACATCATATTTATACCAAATACACAAATTTCACATTCATATACCACATTTACAACAAACATACATACATTCACATACACACACAATAACATTCGACTTATAACAAACACATATAATTTCACATATATAGATAATAACATCATATATACTTCTACCAAATACTCATATACCACATATATATCAAACACACATACATTGGCATATATACACCAAATTCACAATTTCACATAGATTCATACAAATATCAAAATATACATACATATGACAATTTTCACATAATTGATACAACTACATATAGCTTGCAATTAAACTCAAATTTCACAATAAATTGAAATAATAGAACCTGTAGTGGCGGAAATCAACGAATATGTCGCCGGAAAAATTGGTCTTCACCCGAAAATACCCTCACCCGTAAACCCAAAGACAACACTACCAAAAACACTGAAATTGAAAAATAATTTGCAATTAATCATCAAATACAGCTAGAGATCGAAGTTAACATACAAAGACAAAGAGATATAAGAACTTCAACTTACCTTTCTTCCCGAGATGGAGCTAGAAATCGCGTCACAGGAAGCCCTAACCACCCTTGATCCCTAATCTCACACAATGTGGGGAAATATCTTGTTGGAATCAAGGAATCGATAGCAAAATGGGGGCCGATTGGAAGAGCAGCAGCGTAGCAGCGTAAACTGATGGAAAAATGGAAGCAAAAGAGCAAATTGTGTGGGTTTTTTTTTATCTGTGATAGCCTTTAGCGGCGACGCTTTTAGCGGCGACAATTTGGGCTTTACCGGCGACACGAATCAACAGCGGCGACAATCTGGAAGGAAGGGTACCGCGTCATTTTTAGACCACTATTGGCGGCGACTTTTTAGACTTTTAGCGGCGACACAAATGTCGCCGGTATTAGGTTGGTGCGGATAAGAGGCCCCAACCGTTGGATTAGATAATCGATCGAATGGTTGAGATCTATCAAAGGGGGGAAACGCGGATTCGAGTGAGAAGTCTTTAACGGCGACACAATTACCGGCGACGAAGACTTTTAGCGGCGACAAATGATAAAAGTCGCCGCTAAAGGCATAGTTTCTTGTAGTGAACACTTAGTTAATTTGGTATTAAACACAAATCATAACCAAAAAAATTAAACACAGCATGATAGCCAACATTGTATTTAATTTTGTTCTTAATTACAGACCATAATTGACAATTAAATTCAAAATCGTGACGTTAGGTAAATTAACAATCATTCAACCACACAATTTAGTGACTAACTTATCATTTATGTATTGTCTGTTTTAGACGTTTAATATACATAACTTATTGTATCATGGAAGGTAACGACACATATATACAAGTGAATTTCCATTTCGAGTCTGGATATGAACCGAAATTTTGTTTTCAAAAATAGGCAACCCCTGTTTTTTATATAATAGATAAACCCATTTTTGTAACAATCCCTCACATAAATGAAAATGGATCACTAAATTTACAAGCTAGCAAGATAAGATCTAGGAGTTAAATCTTGCATAATTTAGGTATTTACGTAGGTGTTACTTTTGAACATTCCCTAAAGAAGTATACTTATTTTTCTGGTGTCTTTCAACGGTTATATCATTTGTATAAACAATCAATAAACTTCTCACATATTCTACTTTACCTAGTTCAATTCATATTCATAGTTATGTTTGTTTTGGACATGAACATTATTAAGGTTTTGCAAGACCTCTTGAAGGGATTTATTTCTCACATAGCTAGGTGATTCATCTTGAATCATTAAAAGTGAAGTTTGATGAGTTGTACATAAATTTTAAAGACTATAGCTTAGCACGGTCACTTCTTAGGAATGGATAAAAAGATTATACATGATCTCCACGCTCGGAGGTAAAGGAAAAGGATCCATTTAGCATATCAGAATCCCTACTTTATCTTTGTTCACATCATTTATCCTTATCTATGATCCACCTATATCTCTTAATTTCTTGTGTTAACAAGATTATGATTATGTTTCATGTATTTATACTATTGATTGGTGCTAATTGAAAGACAACTTGAGCCTTTACAAATCAAAATAAAACTCACACCCCGGATGCTAAAAGGTGACTGATTCATGGTAATTCCGTAATCATACCAAACACGGGATTCAAACTTATAGAACACTTTCAATCACAAGAAAATCTCAATTACTTACATGAACTTTCTCTATTTTTTTACAATTTCTTTTATCAAAAGTATCTGAGATGAATTAATGTATAAACTAATAAGAACTATAAATCCAACCCTCTAGCTTCATACCCTTTCATGATTCTAAGTCTTTTGCAAGACGAAACGAACATTTCCCATGGCACATCTCCGACAAGCATCCAGTCTCCATCTTTGTCTTCATAAGTTGCTGCATGTTTTGATCCATCGTACCTTTCGTTCTCACTGTACAACCCTATTGTGCACAAAAACATCTCCTCTAAACCCTTTATCAACTCCCCATAGCTTTTGTATACTTTTAGATCAACTTTTCTCAAATATGGAGCTCCATCCATGCTCACTTTCACATACATCGCGGAGCCCATCTCCGGCAACACTTTCTTCCCTTGTAGTACATTTTTGCGGTAAGATCTCACAGGAGGCCACCCGACTACTTGTTCCCTGAAATCATTGAAACAACTTTACATGAGTTTATGCACTAATTAGGTACGTAAAAAGCATAAGATCTTTGGGTGAATAGCATGATTTATTTTTATGTGACTTACTTTGCCGGAGGGGGAGGATCTTGATTCGTCGGTTTTATTTTGACTCATCTCAGACGAACTTCTTTTGGTGCTCTTGGTGAGGGAAGATGTCGTCGTCGTATTAACTTCCGGCAAGTCGTTGGTTCCAGGCAACCCTAATCTTAGCTCGGTTGCTTTGTAATTGAGATCCATATCGAAGTTTAGATGATCGGTTCTTGAAATCTATCTGTATGATGATCTCAGGCAAGATTCTTGATTTTCAGGAGGGTGTGGTTTGTGAGTGGTTTTGGAATTGAAGATGATGTGTTATATATAAGATTGTGGTTGGGATTTGTGCATGAACTCTCTTTGACAGGGAAAGTTTATGTCCACTCGCACATAAATTACACGCGCTCTTTGTTAACTACCTAAGCATTTTCTTTAATATTTTAATAAAAAATTTAGGTTATTAATTAGAAAAGATGAACTGTGCAAGTGAATAGTGCAAAAGTAACATATAAAAATGCAGAAAAGACGAGAAAAGACGAGAAACTTATGAAACTAAACTTTTACCTTTGGATTCTTGTATTGGGTTTGGGTTGTATCTTCTTTCATTCTCCTTTCAAAATTAATGTATTTTTGTACAAACTAATGCATTTTTTGTTCATTTTTAAACAAACGTTTCAAATTTACAAATTAAAACAAAATGGGTAATAGTTCTTTAAAATTTATAACCTTTAAATACATACACAAAGCAGGCCCATATATACGAAATTAACCGCAAAAACAAAAAGCAAAACTGAAAGTTTATTGAACTAATAATAACAAGAAACGTACGGAACCAAATATTTGTATAGTACCAAAAATAGAAGCAATAACATAATTTGTATCATCGTCTTAGCTATAAGAAAATAAGAACCCAAAAGAAAAAACTACAAATCAAATCTTGATATTGTGATTCATATTAATTATAATAAATATTATGATATATCTCTCGAATGTTGTCTGTATGACTGGTCTGTATACGAAAATATGACCACGATAGTATATATAATTATATATATCCTCTTTTCACTTTCATTTAAACTCAATAGTTTCAAAGTTTATAAAGTTAAAAAGAAAAATAAATGTTTTGACTTTTGATGAAAGAAGAGCGAGTGAGGGGACAAACACACCTAAAGATGTTGGTGAGATGAGTGGCAGACTTACATCATCATTTAAAAGTGTGGGGATAAGAGTCACAACACAACAGTTTGGTTATTGGACGCCGTGTGGTCCTTCTCTCTCATCAACGACTGTGATTTGAGCTTAATATTCACACGAAGTCATAGCTGGACCGTCAGATTGCGGTCCTACTGAAAGGGTAAATAGCATGTGACCAGAGGCCAACCTTTTGTCGGGTGAATGAGACAGTACCCATGTGTGGATTATTGATTGGTAGGTCCCGTGAGGGGATTGTGTGTTACGTGCTACACGTCATGTGGGTGTTGGACAATATCTGGCTCGCACGTATTATGTAAGCGTATTTTTAGACGTTTATTCCTGTGTCATATAAATTTAGGTGTTTTTTTTGTTTTATTAAGCAAAAATTCATTGTCTTCGGACTGTATTCGGACTGTACGATGGACCGAAGAAATAAATGAGGAATTTTTAACTGAATCGAATAGAGATTGCCTTGTGAAGCCCTTTTTAGAAATCGAGATCAAGGAAGCTATTTGGTGTTATGGTAATGAGAAAGCATCGGGCCCTGATGTGCTCATCTTTAAATTTTTAAAGCATTATTGGGATTTAATTAAATCATATATTTTCATGTTTGTTAAGGACTTTTGAAAGTTATGGTGTTCTAGCTAATGGGTGCAATTCCTCATTTATTTCTTTACTCCCAAAGATAAAGGACCCTCTCTCTTTGAAAGATTATAGGCCGGTAAATCTTGTGGGTTGTCTATACAAGGTGCTCTCAAAAGTTCTTTCGATCCGTCTAAAAAAGGTGTTGGATAAAATTATTAGCCTCGAACAAACGGCATATATTGAAGGAAGAAGTATTTTAGATGGTCCTCTTTTGCTTAATGAGATTTTTTCGTGGTCAAAAAAGGCAAAGAAAAAGACTTTGATCTTCAAGGTTGATTTTGATAAGGCTTTTGACTTCTTGAGTTGGGAATTCTTAGATTCTGTCATGGATCAAATAGAGTTTGGGTGGAAATGGAGACGTTCGATTAAAGGGTGTCTCTCCTCTAGTAGAACTTCAGTGCTTGTACACGGATCTCCTACTAAAGAATTTGATATCAAAAGGGGTGTTAGGCAAGGGGATCCGCTATCCCCGTTTCTCTTTATTATCGCTATGGAGGGTCTTCATATCTCCATGAAAGAGGCTTGTGATCTTCATTACTTCGGGGCCTTCAGCTTCCCCACAATGGTATTTCATCTTTCATCTTATGTATGTCGATGATGTTACGTTTATAGGCGAATGGTCGGAACTCAATTTTGTGAATCTCAATCGTTTACTTCGTTGTTTCTTTATAGCTTAAGGTTTAAAAGTTAATTTGCATAAAAGTAAAGTGTATGGTGTTGGGGTTAGTAACTTTGAGATTGATAGACTTGTAAGTATTTTAAAATGTGAATTTGCTGCCTTTCCTTTCACATATCTCGGTTTACCGGTTGGTACGAACATGAAGCTTTCAAAAAATTGGACTCCAGTGGTTGAAAAATCTAGAGCCCGTCTTTCTAAATGGAAAGCTAAATCGCTTTCCTTTGGGGGTCGTCTCACACTTGTGAGTTCGGTGCTTAATAGCCTCCCTCTTTATTATTTTTCGTTATTTAGAGCCCCTAAAAAGATTATATCCTTACTTGATAGTATTAGAAGAAGGTTCTTATGGGGAGGTGATGAGGAAAAAAAATAATAAATTAAGTTGTTTGGGATGTATTTATTAAACCAAAGTGCAAGGGTGGGCTTGATATTGGTTGTCTTGACTCCGCTAATCTTGCTCTCCTTGCTAAATGGTGGCGGCGTTTAAAGAATGGGATCAATTCTTTTTGGTTCTCATGTATCAAGTCTATTCAAAACTTAAAGCTTGTGGAAGGAAGACCAATTGCTAAATGTTCCATAAAAGGTGTTTGGTTCATGATCTCTCAAATTGGAGTGGAACTTGAAAAAAAGTATTTCTTTATCAGGTTTATTTAAAAGAGAGGTTGGGATTGGGGACAAAACTTACTTTTGGAAAGACTCTTGGTGTGGGGATATCCCGCTAAAATATATTTGTCATAATATTTATGCTTTGGATGTTAAGAAGGATTGTTTAGTAATGGCAAGGGTGATTAATGGGGTTGTTTCAGGGTCGCGTTGGGCTTGGGATTGGTCGAGACAATTGAGGAGGGGCAGAGAAAGTTTATACTTTTCTGTCTTAACTGACATGCTGAAGAATTTTCAGTTTTGTTATGGCTTTGACAGGTGGAAGTGGATTGGAGATTCGAATGGGGAGTTTTCAGTTAAAGGGATGAGAAACTTAATTGATAGTTCTACCGAGGTCTCGACTTGCAATTTTAAGTGGGTTAAGTGGATTCCTCTTAAGGTTAACTCGTTTGTTTGGCGTCTTTTTTGTAACGCCTGGTTCCTGGTATGTATTTAATTCATAAATTATTCATTTTTGTATAGAAACTCGACGAGTTGGAGGCCCCAAACTCGTCAAGTAGAGATGGATTGGGACACGGGATATGAAGTCTACTCGACGAGTTGAGAAGCCTCAACTCGACGAGTAGGACTGGCAGAATGAAACCCTAATTTTAAGGTTTTTGCACCCTATTTAAACACCTTAACCCCATAAGCTGGCCTCATTTACAGCCTGCATTATCCTAAACCCCAGCCACGAAACCCTAATCCACTTTTGAGAGCTTTGAGCCATTTTCAAGCATTCTTTGTGATTTTGAAGAAGGAGATACTTGAAGAAGGAGCAAGGGCGTGTAGGAGGAGAGTAGATCCAGAAGTTGAGCTTCATAGCCGGTTCATCTGAGGTATAAATCCCCTATTTTGCCTATAGTATGCTTAGATCTAGTTTTAGTTTGTTTTCTTCATGATTTGGTCCAAGTATGTTGGCTTTTGGGATTTGGACGTCCCATGTGGGCAAACCCTTCAGATCTAGGGTCTTTAGGAGACTTCATGGCATAAAGGTGCCAACTTTATGGCCATGGAAGTCCCATGCAACTTGTAGACAACCTTTTTGGTCTTTTGAGCCAAGTAGGCCATGCATGAAAGTAAAGATGGGAACTTTACATGACCATACTATCCCTAGAGTCCATATCTATAACCTCATGGCTTATATCAAAGTTTTAATGGCTTTGGAGTTGGATCTAAGCCATTTTGAGTTAGGGTTAGGGCTCATTTCTTCTAGAATGGGTCTTAATGGGTAAAGTCAGAAACTTTACCCTCTTAGATGTGTATTCGACCCAGATCTAGAATATGGGACTCAGATTCGAAGGAATAATGGCTTAATGCCTTAAGAAGGTTTAACAGAGTGAATAACTCGGCGAGTTCATAGAGGAACTCGACGAGTTGGGTCGAAGTGTCCCGATTCTATAAAAGGAAGAACTCGACGAGTTCAAGGATGGATTCAACGGGTAGATTTGAGAAATCCCGATTTTGTTGATAGGAAGGGACTCGACGAGTTCATGAAAGGGCTCGACGAGTTGGATATCGATTCAGGATTTTGTGATTTATGGAACTTGACGAGTTGAAGGGCCAACTTGGCGAGTTGAGTCAACTCGGAATGTTGACTTTGACTTTGACCAGGGTATTGACTTTGACTTTGACTTTGACTTTGACCAAAGTTGACTCGTAAGGGGTTACGAGTATGAAAGAGTAATTGAGGAAATCCTTGATGTGTAGGGGTCTGAGTTGGGTAATTTCAGAGCCGGGGATTTATCAGCTACTTTACAGCATTCGAAGTGAGTTACCTTCCCAGTAGCAGTGGGTCTAAGGCACCAAGGCCGGCCCACTAGTAGGAGTTTGTTGTTAGATAATTGTCTTTGTGATAGTTGTATGGTATGCCACTATCTGTTACGATTTATGTGTCAGTATGATTTGCTAATATGTGATAGTAGTAGGAGGGTGAGATAGACCCCGTAGTTGGTTGAGATAAACCGGAGGGTAGGTCGGGCACCCCAGATATGCTTGACAGTATGTTTATGATATGATATTATGTGATAGTGGTAGGAGGGTTAAA